AACCAAGTTGATTTTATTTGTCATAAACGTATTTTATGATAGTGTCCTTGTTGGTATAAACAGTTTGTACACATACACGCACACCCACACTCACTCACTCACTCACTCACTCACTCACTCACTCACTCACTCACTCACCACTCACTCACTCACTCATCACTCACTCACTCACTCACTCACACACACACACACACACACACACACACACACACACACACACACACACACACACACACACACACACACACACACACACACACACAGTTCAGGTATATTAATTCAACTTGAAATATTAAATAACACCGCATAATGGAAGTATTGGTGATACTATTGCAACAACCACAATCAATACCACTGCCATTAGTACTTATGTTGATACTGCTACAAGACCTGCAACTACCTGTCCTCTGTGTATTTTGTCTTTTTGTGTTTTGTTTGTAAGTCTGTGCGCGCGCGTGTGTGCGTGCGTGCGTGTTTGTTTCCATTAAGATAAGACCTGCTGTACACTTAATTATTCCATGTAATGTATAGCTTTATACATCGGCATACCTGATAATTTCTTTGGTGGCAAACCTCTTACTTGCCAACAATTTGAGCAACTTTTTTCTTTTCTTATCCTAAATAAGGAGCATTATACTGCAGCCCGCTAGTCATATTTATTAGGGGGTGCAGGGGTTTATACTGCAGACAAAGTGGGTCTTTTTTATACCATATTTGCCGAGTGAGGGAATTAATTAGGCTACCGAGAGCGCGCTGAGAGGTGCGTCCCTTCTCGGCACGCCCCTGATTCCGTTCTCCGCATCCATTCAAAGGAAAAGCCTTAATCGCATTGCGTTCCGTTGCAGATGGGGCAGGACAAGCCGATGGCGCTGGTGGACACGGTGGTGAAGACGGAGTCGAGCGCCCCCCCGCACGTGTCGGCGCTGGCGAAGGCCCTGGAGAGGCCCCTCGCGGACGCCAAGGTCATGAACGGCTCGTCCATGTTCCAGGCGTCGTTCCAGCAGAGTTTCCAGAAGGTCACGTCCCTGACCGGGTCAACCGTGCACACCCAGCCCGGCCTGACCCCGCTCATAGCCACCACGTCATCGCCGATGCTGGCCAATGGTAAGGGGCCTTGTTTGACGCGCGAGGGAGCTAGGCCGAGGGACTAATTGGGGTTTTAATTGCTTTTTGGGGAGTTTATTTGGCTCAGAGGTAGGGGAATAGTTGGTTTAGGCTCGTGTGTTTCATGTATTCTTAGTTGCCACAGTAGCAAGGGCGAAAGGTAATCATAGTTAGGGTGGGTTTAGGGTTGAATTGTTATGATCATTTGTAATGTACGTATTACCTGTTAAGTAATATAAGAAAGTGTGAAATAAGCAAACATTATTTTCAAGAAAAATTACAATGCCAGACCTTAATTTACAATAATTAATTGAAAACTGCCAATATAAAAAAGGAGAAACAGGTATTCCATAGATAGCCTAGAAAGCTGAGCAATATTTTGAATAATGTTTTTTTCTGACCTAATGCCTCCTTCCCACCCACAGGGCCAACAGACCTAAGTGTAAAGGGAACCTCAAAGCCAACCCGGCCAACACTCAACGCAGTAGAGGTGGCTGCAGTGCGGCAACTCATTACCGGGTACAGGGAGTCAGCTGCCTTCCTCCTGAGGTCGGCAGATGAGCTGGAAAACCTCCTAATTCATCAACAGAGTCCTTAGTGTACTGGTTGCATAGCCAGTGTCTGACTGTGTATATGTGGAAGTTCTGTATTGTATATTCAACGGTATGACTTTGTACATGTGAATTTGCTGGTGTTAATGGCTGTCTTATTGCTGCTCACTCTAAGATGTATATGGTACAATTTCAATGTTTTATGAACATAGTTGTAAGAGTATTTATTTACAAACTTTTGAGTTTGTCTCCAAGCCTGTATGGGAAAAGCATGAATGTGTAAATACTGGTGCTGTCCTCCATGTCCAGTCATTCTGTATAAATTATGAACTGATAGAGAATTTTTAGGTTGTTTGTACTGACCTGGAAATTTTTAGGCATGTAGCTCCATACCCACCCATGTGGAAAAAGGATTATTGCTTAGGGTTCACTAGAGATTTTCATATAGTTTACAATGGAAGTGCCTCTTCACCCTCGAAAGATCAGTGTTGAACTAACATTAAATAAGGGGACATTAGATTAGCAACTATTAGGAAGATAGTAACTTCACAGGTTCCTGAGATTTCGCTCTCATGATATGAATTAAACCATTACTGAGTCTTCAGTGTGCTACACAAAAAGACTTTAAAAAGTTATTTGTATTTTTTCCCTGTAAATTGAAAATATATATACAGTATATATATATATATACACACAGAGATTTTATGTATGAAAAAGGAAAAATCAGTTCGTAAAAAAAAATGCCACTTTTATTTTACATTTTCATAATTGACTTATTTTCCTTTATGAGTATTTAATTTCTTGTATATATGAAACTACTACAGTATCAAGTTAGGGGAAACAGAAACAGGTAATACTGTAGGCAAAACATGCAAAGTGTTATGCATGTCTTGGTTCTAGCTTCGTCTGACAATACTTAAATGAAATAGGAGTGTGAGGGTAAGTTTTATGTCTGAAAAGAAATCTCTACACTTTGAATGTATTTGTGTAGATGTATATAGGTAGTGCCCCAATAAACACTTACAAAAATGTATGATGTCCTATATAGGAAATGTATGTTTGCCATAGAATGCCATACAAATTCAGTGTTATGGAAATCTGGGCGTACAGCGTTGTGGGATTCATTTCCATAGATCTGCTTGGTAATAGCCTGTAAAAATTTATGTTAGTAATGCTTTCATTGTTTGGTACTGTAACGAAAAAGGAAAAGCCAATTTTACTTTGATTATGCTTTGACTGTTAAACACAACAGAGCACCATGACAGTATGTGCTAGCTCACCCCAGCATATCAAAGAACAGAATACTAGCTAAACAAACATAGGGATGAAGTAAATATTAACTTGTTAAGGCATAAGCAATTAACTGCCATAAACATTCACTGAATTAATTTGTTTTTTCCCCACGACTAAGTGTCACCCCGGCCCCCTGCTCAAGATTAACTTCACTGGTTTCTGCGCAGGCCTTGGTTAAGCAACGTGATATGGTTATGTTGTGTTCCATCTTTGCCAAAATTGTTATTTTATTATTTTTTTGTCTATTTATTTCTATGTATTTTCTGGTAATAGTCAGAGAATTTTTTATTTGTTAGCATTTTTGGAGACTGTTTGGACATTGACATTGATAAGTGTGATGTAAGCTGTAAATCATAAGATTATTGTGGCAGATTTTAACTGTATAGAGAGAGAAACAAACAAACAACAAACCAAACAAAACAAATGCAACGCAACACTATACAAGTACAGAAACAAAAAATTGTAGTGTGCTAGTTCCGAACACATAGTTGAATCTCCCTTCCTCCTGCCCTTGAATTTAGTGTACACTGGGCACCTCTGCATCTAGTCACTTCTGCGGATATCATTCCACTCGCATTCAGACATATTTTGTGGACAGACTGTCTGTGAAGAGCAATCATCATAGCCAGGTTCTTTTTTGTTTCAAACTTTTAATGTATTACTTTTTTTGTACTGAAATCTTTCGAAGTTAGCACTATGTTGAAGTCATTTACTGTCAGTATTTAGGATATCTACACATTTTGAAAGGAAAACCAAAACAGATTGTCAAGATACCACAGTTTGATATTAAGGTGTTACAGTTGGTTGCATACTTTGACAAAGGTTTTTTAATGATAATGTCAGTACCATACAGAATATTATAATATATTTCATAGTCATTCCATTTTCTTGGCTTTTATTTTTTCATCTAAATCATTGACAGTATTTGTAATATATGTAAATCACATTTATTTCCCTAGGGTTAAAGATGTTAGGTATTGTTCAACTGGCTATGATGATTGAAGGATTCTTAAATTATTGTCATTATTTGGTAAAACAAGTTCATTACAATGTTAATTTCCTATAATTATTTTGTTTAATTATTATCATGATTGTTTTAACTCTCCATACCAAAGATAGGAGATATTTATCTGTATATATGATCTCATTCTCCTGCAAGTAAAGTTAGTAATTCCCTGTTTTTTCTTTTACTTTTTTATTCATTGTTGTGAACAATGGTGGTTTTCTTAATTTATTTATATTAATATAGGAAGAGTATATATACATATAGTCTATTATTTGGGTATTTTCTGTATTCCTAATTCAGTGTTTTTTACTGTTCAAGTTGAGTCACTTGGTGTATATAACAGAAATGAAATGTGTTTTTTGTTTTTTGTTCAACCTTATGGCAAGGAATCCTAATTGTTTTTATAGGTTATGTATATTATATGAAAAGTGTAAATATATAAATGCAAAACAAAAATATTTTACAATGAATGTTCTAAATGTATGTAAGAGTATGCATTAGTCATATTATTAATATTATTATTAGTTCTCTAATTTTTGCATTGCATTATGATTTACCTCTGTTGTACAATTCATTTCTGGATGTATACATGGAAGATGAGATTTGAAGCACCACTGATACTTGTTTTCTGTTTTAAATAAGAGAGATTGTAAAGAAAAGAAAATATATATATATAATTGTCCCAATGTAGATTTCTTCCACTGGTATAGGTATAGAAAGATTCATTCCCTTTTATGCTGATGAACCTGCACTTCTAAGCACAGTCACCGATGCAAAGTGAACCTAAAGTTGTTTTTCTATGTTAAATACAAGGTAAAAATAGTAAGACGTTTCATATATATCACTGCAACTTCTACTCTTTAAGAAAATCATAAACTTTTGTTATGAAGATCATGTGTTGGAAGAGTGCAGGTGCATTATGCAAATGCAAGTGCCAGCCTGTTTGACAAAGGTTGTTACAGGTCAGAATATTATCTTTGTACTGATGATGGAAATAAATGTAATTGTTAGATGAAACATTTTATTGAAACCTATCACTTTGATTTGCTTGAAAAAAAAATAGCTGTGATAAAATGAGGATTGTTTATAAAGTTTTTTTTTCAGAATTACAAGAGGTTCATATGCATCTTTTTTACAATCAGATGCATTAATAAGTAAAACAAACTTTGATACATTCCTTGGATATCTCAATTAGGGCGAATTTTAAGTGACAATTAAAAAACAGAAAGAATACATAAAAAGGAAACCAAGAAATTTCAGAAAAAATGCAAATATAGCAAAGCAGGAATTTCAGAAAATGTAATATATCAGCTCCATCAAGAAAATTGGGTAAAGTACAGATGGAGATTTAACAAGTTTACGTTTAATACACCATAATATTCTTGCAGTGAAAGGAGGGAAGACTGATTATTTCTGTAAAATAGTAATAATAAAAAATATTTTGGAATTAAAGTTCTATAAGGCTGCCAGAGAGAGAGAGAGAGATTCATCTTGAAGCATAGGAGATAATAATTATATCAAACACCGCAAAGCCACCTGCAACCTCCCACTTACCAAATTTCTCAAACCCAAGACATGAGTTCTTTATTTTTTCCCCTCGCCTGACCTATAACCTCCAGTCAACTCTCACCGCATGCGCCAATTTCGTAATTCAGCCAAATGGGCATTTTCAGCCCCCCCCCCCCCAATCAGTTACGAGAAAATCGGCGGTTATGCGAATTGCGTCAGAGTAGCACTCGTGCCTTTGGTTGGTCTGTTTGCGGGAATGCCCAGCACTATGTGTAAGCACCATTAGACCATTCCACTGTCGCGGTTTAATGATAGAAATAGACATAAAGCAGGATGCATGGCTGCGGAAAGCTTCCAGAGTGCGACACTAATAGATGAGAGGAAAGTATCTTGATAAGAAACTGTAAGGCCCTCGTGATGCTTCATTAGGCTAAAAACGGGTTCGCACGAGATCAAATTCCATCTGAATTGCACGGTATCAGACCTGTTATTAGTTGAACAAGTGACCAGACCTATGCAAACAAGTCAGATATATAGCATTGCACAAGGAGAGATACAAGTAATTCATAGAAAATCGGCCTTTAATCAAAATTTGCAAAAAATGACGAGAAAACACTGACTTGGCAAGTAATCATACTCCTTGAAAAGCACCATCTGCAGCGCTTTACGTTAGAAAGTTCCGCTTCCGACCAAGGTCTATATAAGTACGCTAGCGAAGACACTCCAATATCACCGATGGAGTATTGCATCAAAAAATACTCGACGAATGAAGTTCAGATTTCGGCTGATACTCCACAAGTAGTTGGGAATAGCTTGGCCACAAGGGAAAGTGAATCGAAATACGTGTTGCGCTGGGAATCGTTTCAGTACCAGTGAATATCTTGCAAATCCCAGAAGTATATTTTATGCATAAACATTTACGAATGACAAGGAAACTTGATCAGGCATTGATATGCTACAGTATAGTCTAGCAGAGCAATGAATGCAGTGATACCAGTGGCATGCAGAGGTCTGGTGATGCCCGGGGCCAACTCCTTGATTGTGTGCCCCAAAGATTCAAGTATAAGGCCTCGTACCGATAAACATTATGAGAAATAGAAATATTATGAATATGTAAACACAGATGAAACATTAACATAAATCTTTATCCGATTTAAATATAAATTTCAAAATCAGTGTCTTATTTACCTCTCTAATTGGATGTCTCCCATTCGAACGCCTGAACCGTCATCGCTCGCCCTCCTCTGCACCGAGTGATACGTTCTTGCCCGAACATAATGGTATTGATAACACTTAGAAAAGAGCCAATAGTGATCCTTGTGGGATTTTACGAAGGAAATTTGTAATCAAGGAGTAAAGAATTGACAGTCACCCTACTCCCAGGAGGAGACTGAAATTGCTCTCATAAAGCCATCGTAAATAAAGATAAAAATTAAGGAAATAATCATAAAGAACACATTTGCTTGATGATGGAGACTACTCCACACTATATAAGTCTCAAGCAAGGTCTATATAAGTACTTATATAAACCTTGGTCCCAAGCTCGTTGTGTGACGCAGCTGCCTCACGCATACTGTCCTCCGAAAGTAAAGAACAAAAAATCTTGCTTCTTCGGTGTCGCAGCTGGAAGTAACCGCCTTCACCGTCTGAGATTTCTGTCGTTTCAAAATTCACTCTCACGTTCAACCTGCAGGCGCCTTTTGCAAGAACAGAATCCTTGTTAGTAAAGTTAGATTTCAGAATCGGTTTTCCCAGACACAACCTCCATCGCAGTTAGTTACTACAAAACTTCAGATCCCAAGTTAATGCATTATTAAAGTCGCAGGATACAGCTTCTAATATAAATCATTTTAATAGATTTAGCATTTTCAACCACCTGTATTTATGTAACCATTTAGGAACAGAAGGACAGGCACAAGGGCAAAGCTGGTCGAACTCGATGAAAGTCTTACGAGGGCGGAATCTTATTATTGATGTTATTCTTGCGTCCATTTCAGAACATCCCGGAAATTCTATCGCTTCTCTTTGACCTACGACAACAGGGAAAGGTGGATCGGCAGTATATATATATATATATATATATATATATATATATATATATATATATATATATATTATATATATATATCTGTGTGTGTGTGTGTGTGTGTGTGTGTGTGTGTGTGTGTGTGTGTGTGTGTGTGTGTGTGTGTGTGTGTGTGTGTGTGTGTGTGTGTGTGTGTGTGTGTGTGTGTGTGTGTGTGTGTGCAGTGACATAGATAGGGCGGGGGGCAAGGGAGGGGCGTTGTACCCTATCTCAAGTAATGCTGCGTTCGGAACTGCTCGTCTATCTCGTCCAGACCACTTGTCCATACATGACCAGCAGGACGAGATGCGCCGCGTTCGGAACCTCCAAGACCCTTTCTGCCCAGAATGCAAACATTCACTTTTTTATCATACCGGTGTCTTTATTTTACACGCTGCATAGGTTTTGTAATTCCTTTGATGTACATTTTACTTACCTGCAACTGACAAACACAAAAATATCCTTTGATAACACCAATTAAGGGTCATAAAATTACCCACCAATATCTTGTGGTTACCTGCAACTGTCAATGTTTACATACAAAATCTATTGTGACGTCATCTCGTCCTGCTCGGCCACCCTCGCAGGAGGGCGAGTTGGACGAGCTAGACTACTTGTCCGGGACGAGATAGTGGAAGTTCCGAACGGTCAAAACATCTCGTCCAACTGGCCTGGACGAGATAGACGAGCAGTTCCGAACGCACCACAAGAAATCAGTTTTGTCGGAAATTTTCAATTCTTGTCGGAAAAATGTTACGGCAGTCTATTTTCTTGTGTGTGCTTGTTGATTTTTAGCAGATCTAAATTAAATTTCGCTCAATTATCTCTGTTTAGATTATCTATTTCCAAATGCTTTACCGCAGTGTTCATACAAAAAGGCTTAAATTGAACGTGGCATTCCTGTATGAGTCCAGAATTCCACTGGTCTAAACGTAAGTGGTTAATTTAGCTCGAAAATGTTCACTAATGAACTTACCAACAACAAACAATAAGACCATTTTGTCGGAAAATCTATGGATTTTACCACCCCTGTTAAATTCCCAATTTACGCCACAGTATATATATATATATATATATATATATATATATATATATATATATATATAAGTATATATATATATATATATATATATATATATCTATGTATATATGCATATACATACATACATATATATGTATACGTATACAGATACATATATACATACATACATATATATATATATATATATATATATATATATATTATATATATATATATATACAGGTATGCATGTACGTATATATACACATATGTGTATGTATAAACATATATGTATATAGATATGAATATATATAAATAAATATATAATATATATATATATAATATATATATGGTGTGTGTGTGTGTGTGTGTGTGTGTGTGTGTGTGTGGTGTGTGTGTGTGTGTGTGTGTGTGTGTGTGTGTGTGTATTTATTTTTTTCGCAGAATGACAAACATAAACATAGACAGACCGAAAGAATTATAGAAAGGGGGAAGAGAGAGAGAAAAGGGGAGAGAGGGGGGAAGGGAGATCGAGCGATCCGTGAATGAATAGACTGTCACAGAAAGGGAGTAAGAAAACAGAAAGACGAAATTCCAACCAAGATTTTCAAACTGCGCGCCAAAAAAACAAAATTTATCCAATCTTACCCATTGATACATAATCAAAACTATTTCCCCAAAACCTCTACAAACATATTTTAAAAATAAAGCAATAATTACAACGCACAGAAATAAGTAAAATCTCTCTTATACGCCCCCCTAAAGGATCTAAAATTATCTTCACTGCGAATTGCAGAGGAATATTGACCTAAATGTTTGTTATGAGTTAGTATCACAGGGAGGAGGGACACAACCTCATATTTTCCACTCATTTCGCCTCATTTAAGGTCCTGTCCCTGGTTTTTGGCCACTTTGAAGGTACGTTGAATAAGAAATGAGACGATGAAGAGGCTCAAAAAAGTAAAAAACGCGAAAAGTTTAGGAATTTTGAGTGACTTTGTGATCGGGAGTTTTAGGTGGTAGTGAAATTTTCCTTCTGGTTTTGTTTTCTATTTCCTTTAGACTTACAAGTTATTCACGCTTTTGTGGATTCTGTTGAGGAATGGAAGACGTTTTTCACTGATCACTGGGAAGGTAATGGAAGTAATGTTAATGGAGAAGTCCCTCAATGACAACCTCTTGAATTTCGTTATTATGATAAATTCTCTCGTACTTCAGATCACTTACACATTTCCTTATACCTTTCCTCGACGTGACAGAAGGCTCAAAATCTGGTGTCCAATGCTACAATGTCGAAAAGTTTTATCTTAAAAGAATATAGGCATGGGATGTTGCTGGACTTTGTCAGAGCACTGACAGGCGTGGAGGCCAAGGGCAGACGTGCTTGTGCCTTTGAAATATCAACTAGTGTATCACGAGAGTCTCTACGTATGTTAATCATTTGGGGGTTT